CACCCCCACCCCCACCTCCAAAAGATGCTTTTTCCTAACTAAAAATTGCAGATGTTTGTGAACAAACATATGTGGCTCATTGTCATAGCTGTTGGCTGGCCCCCTCCTAGATCTATTTCAAGTATGGAGCTTATAAGATGATGGAAATTTTGCTGTTATACGAGGGTTGAGTTCATGCCGTGTCCAAATCGTATTGTGTTAAATTTTTTATTATTATATGTGACCCGATTATATTTGGGTTTGTATCTGTTTTAGTTTCCTCTAAAGCGAAAAACATTTCGGTGGCTATGGTGTAAAAAATTGAAGTTTTAATCCCTTGTGTCATATATATCTAGACTTTATCTATTCATTAATGAAACGGAATTAATCAATTATAATAAGAATTCACCAAGGTTAAATTCATACCTCAAATGGAATTACATAACATTCCAACAAGGGATATGAGGTTGGAACATTCAGTGATCAAGTAGAAAAGTGGTGCAGTAATGTGGGTTTTCTAACACTATGTCAAATAGTTATGGTAGAGCATGGGAGTGGAAGGGTGGTCAATGAAAGATCTTTGTCTTTTGTCTGTGGTGGTGGTGGATGTGGGCGGTGGTCTCACCTGTCTTGTGAAGGGTTGGAAGGGTGACCATGGTGTGTTTGTTATTGTCATGTCAAGGGAGACATATCAGACACCACCACCACCTGGGTTTTGAATTTCAGTGATGAATGTGGGTACATTGCATTGAGGTCTGAATGGTGACCACTCGTTGACATTAACTGAAGGTTGTCTTGGACTGTTCAGTAAATGTGACTGTGACAGTCTACTAAACTTTGAATAATCAATGGTGCCTTGGGTAATAAGAGCAAGACTATGACACTACGGATTAAATAATTTTTTGGTTAGAGTGACGTTAAAAGTAGCTATATGGGTTTCTCACATTTTAAGATAGAAATTAATTTTTTTAAATCGATCGTAACATTTTAGTGTCGATCTTTCTTTTGTTTTTTTTGTCGCACTTGAGGTCATTGAAATATAACTGGACAAAAAAAAGTACATACTTGCGGTTAGGCTATATACATAACTTAATCTCTTACTAATTATGGTCATAAGCTTGTGAAAATAGGACATATATAGCTAAAAAAAATAATAAACAAAGAAAAAATATCTATTGTGCATATCAACTGATTGTTATGTGAACTGATAAAAGATATAGAACATGAAAAAACATTGATAAAAGTAAAAAAGAATTGCATTTAGTTAGATATTATGAAGATATATCAATTAGTTCAGTCAACAACTAATTGAATGTTTCAACTAGTGGATATTTGAGGATTTGGTGGTTTGGCTACTAGTGACAATCCCGATGTTAGACTTAATAGCCACGGGTTCGAACTTTACAATTTAATTTAACAAAAAAATATCTGAAAGAATAAACGAACAAAAAATAATTTTAAAATTTAGATCCAAAGTTCAACTCACTTCAAGCAATCAAATTTCTTGAAAGTCTCACATCATCAAACAATACAATAAGGATCAATCTTTCTCTCTCCTTTACCGAAAAAAATAATTGA